ATTATTATTATCTGAGTTATTTTTATTACTGTGTAAAATGCTTGAAAAAGAAGACATGACATTTTGAAAAAGCATGGATTTCTTGCACTGAGGTATATAAACGTTTGAGAATTTTAGAAGGAAGGTGTGAACTGCATTAAAACGGTACAGTATATAAAAAATTAATATGCCAGAAATTCACAATCACTATGAGCCTTTTGGGAACCAAGATTAGAGGCTAAAGTCTATCTTGAATGAGACTTTTTGCAGTTGTCTGATTTGGAAGTGTAGCTTATAAACATTCCTAAGAGTAACACCTTTTTTTTTCTTTGCAATGTTTGTATAAATGTGTGTTATTCATCTGAAAATGTAGATTTTAAATTTCTAGTCGTAACACTTTTTTTAATGACTTTTTTACTTTTTTAATCCTGGTATGTAAATTAATCTGTATCTAATATTGCATAATATTATATTGTATTGTATCAACATACCCCTGCTATTCAACCTGCACCATTCTGTAGTGGATGGAGGATGCATAACTCTTAAGTAATGTTAATATAAAACTCGGTTCTTGCAACACACCGTAAGTAATTGGAATTGCATTGCATGTAAGGTGGGAAACTGGGGAAGTAGGGTCATTCCCGGCCACACAGGTCTCCGTCGGCTGATTGCTTCTGCGGAGTAGCCTTCAAGAGACAATTCAGCAGTTTGACGATTGACGATTTATGAGTCTCTGAACCCAGTAACACACTGACAGCCTCTGTAAATGTTCTGATTTAGTGTTGCACATTGTGTCTGACTGTGTTGTTGTCTTTCTGCATATGTGCCTAAGAGAATTCAACTGTGTTTTCATTTATAATTACCCTACAAACCTCTAGCTCAATAGTTGCTCTTATTGTGAGGCCTGGGTGACATAAGCAAAACTGAAATTCAAAGTGTTTCTTCATACTCTACCAGAATTTGAAGAATGAATACAGAGCTTTACTAAATGAGAACCCAATGAGCAATTATGTCTGCAGAAAATTAAGAATACAATTGTGCAAAAAACTCAACTTTTTTCTAAAAGTCACACATACAGTAGCAATGACTGGATAGCACCATGGACAAAGTTTAAAAACTTTGATCGAAGTTCATTTTTAAAAGTGCGAGATCACTAAACTCAGCTTTTTAAGGTTCATTACTACAGTGATACTTAATGTATGTTTTGGCTAGCAAAGAAAACAGATTGAAACTTGGCACCAGGGAGACTGTTTAATGAAATAAAACCTTTTGAATGAATGCCATTCTCTGAGAATGGAAGCTGAATTCAGTCCATCCTGGCTACATCAAAGAAGTGCATCCAGACTGCAATGTAATTTAACCTAAAAAAGCAATACTCCTTTGAGCAGTTTATTTTAATAATCAAACAAATGTCCGATTTGCTACTGAATGTGAGCACACTGCTCCTGAAGTTGAGAACAAAGTGGATATTTGTAAGAAAATGTTTGAAAAGTGGTACTCAAGTTGCACAGCAAAAGAAGGCAACGTTTATGTTGTACAAACTTAAGTGGTAAATTGTAATTCAAAGTACAGTTGACATTTTTTAAAAGAGTTACAAACAGATTAGTTTTCTTTTCCACAAATCAACACTAACTGCATTTGTTTCAGCTATTTTTGGGACAGAAGATATGTTTTTAAACCAAATGAAAGGATTCAGATTTTTAAATGAAAATGGCTGTCAAAAGAGGAAATATAAACTATAACTCAGGGGGATTTATGACATCAAGCGCCTCCAATAAAGACTTCATCTAATGTATTTCTTTCAATTCACTGAACTAAACTCATTTCATTTTTTGAAACCCAACCCTTGTAGCTCTGCAGGATAAGCTTTGCCAGGGAAAACATTTGCTCATTTAATAATGTTTGAACATCGAGTCTTGATGCAGTTTGTAGCAGAGCAATGAGAAAAACCCACAACTAATCCTTCAGTACAGCTGTCTGGGACCTTGGGTATCTGCCATGCTTCAGACAGCAGTGTCTTTTTTAAATTGGTGACTCAGACTGAATAAACCTCACAGAACACATTCAAGTGTCCAGACCAAATGAAATGCAGAAATATACTGATCTGTGAGCCAAGACATCACGGCCCTGTCTGAAGTGAATGGTAAAGATGAGAAGATTGATTGGGGCTCTCAGGACAGTAGAAAATGACTGTACGTGTAAGACATTGCTCTGAGCGAAACCTTCATAGCTGTCCAGAAGGAATGTCTCAGTTAAATAAACAATGTATTAAAGTACTGTGTTTAATTTCGGCATTGATTTCCTTACTCTTTTCATCCCGTGATCCTTTTTATGAAGTCTGTCTATACCCGTTGCAAGACAAAACTAGAAAATTGTGTGTTGCTTCGCCTAACAGATTTTGAAGTTGAGCGGAGCATGATGATGATTATTTTTTAGTGTGGATTATGGCAGAACAAAATAAGACCTGTGTAATATGTCGATGCAAATGAAACAGACATATTCCTGCCAGCTGGAGTTCGGTCACTGACTAGCCATTCTTACATTTTCCCTGCAGAGCTGTTCCCACGGTCCCCCTGAGAA